AGGGGTTGCCGAACCTGCGAGCCAATATCTTCAAGGCTTGTGCGTACCTGTCTTCCGGCTCAAGTATTGTGAAGTAATCGATTGCTTCTCGTGCTTCAACTTCACATGCGTTGATCAAGAAAGTTAGTTGATTTGCGGGATCCGTAACTTATTGGGCGACCTCACTTTTGAAACCCCTCAGAAGCTTCCAGTAATTCAGAGGGATACCGTCGAACATTGGTACCTTTCTCTGAGGCATACCCATACAGAGTTGAGCAGTTCCGAAAGATGTTGATACGATATGGACGTCGTCTTTGGATTCTTTGGAGGCGTCATATGGTAGTTTGAGGTGATGGCACCCTCCTGGTCAACTGGATATGATGGAGGTCTAACAGAGTCTTGGAGTCTACTGTATGTAGCGGTAGCGGAACACTGAAGGTTAGCGATTTCGCGACGAAATTTGGCCATCTCCATTTCCAGCCATGTAGCTCTGATTTTCAGATCTATAGGGAGCTCTCGCTTGGGCAACGGTGGGAAGTAATCGAGTGATGGAAGGTCGGCGGAATGTTCGTCAGACATGTCGAAACTTCAGTTGAGTTTGCGTTGTTGATTAACTTTGTAAGATCCGTAAGATTAAGGATCTCGCAGGAAAATTTGCGACTATTAGATTATACGCAGTTTGCAGCCAGTAGTTAATAGGATTAGTCAGAAAACAAGGAAAGTTACCATTGTTCACCGATGATTCACAGGGGGTATCAACAATCCGCATAGGTTTTTCTATAGCTATTTGGACTGATCATGCAGTTCAAGTGATATTCTTTTATTTTTCTTTATTTTTTACAACAGATGTGACTATGAAATTAGATGTAAGCTCCTGAAAGCTCAGCGAAATGATTTTCACTTGCCGACCAACCAAAGTAACTGCTTGCCAATCCCTTAGAAATTATTTGTGTTGCCGTCAGTGCACAGCAATTAAAAACTATACAAACGCCGGTATATTGGGAGGAGTTGGCTACCAGCCAAGGCTATTGCGACGTCCCGCATAACCAATGCTACTTTCACATATACTGAACCGAACGACTGCCACCCGGTCAAATCCCCACGAACAATGGACACGTTCACAATGCGCAAGTATCCACACCGATACCTTGAATGTTATCCTGCGGTCAGGTGATTATTGATGTGACAGCTGATTTGCATGTGCGAGGGTGGATTACATTCATTCAGAAAAAACGAGCTCTGCTTCCCTGATACCGTCGTTTTGCCGAGTTAAACGACGAACAAATACAACTACAACTAGAGCTCGTGGTGTCAATGATTATCACTTGTTTGCATGCACAATTTTGGGAGGGAACACTCTGGAAGACAGGCGCGTTTGTGGGTGAGCGTCCATGTGTATACGTGGTCACCGAAAAAAGTTTGACCATACGTTCCTCAGAAAGGTTAATGCCAGAAACCTGAGATATTATATTATTTATTTATTTTTTGTCTAAAAAGCGCAGGACTTGGTGCCTTCAAACAGTATCGAAGAATTATTATAAAGTGGAAATAATCCTCCCAAAGCTTGAAAACGCCTTTAAAACAGCTATCTGCCACTAATTAAGAAGGCAT